AAATGGTGCAACCCCTGTGGAAAGCGGTATAGCGCTTTCTCAAAAAGTTGCAAATAGAGATACCATTTGACCCAGCAATTCCACTACTGGGAATATACCCAGAAGAGACCATAACTGACACCCAAGCAGATATCCTTGCTCTTTAGCCTTTAAAGAAGTCCATAGCAAATTTGCCCAGTGTCATACATCTTTTGATTCCGCCCCCCCCCCATTTCAGTATCTTGAAAAGATTACCTAGAACAAAGATAGTATCTCTGCCTATAAAATGCAGAAGTTTAAGAAACCCAGGTGGCATTATCTCTGCACACAATTCAGTTCACTGATAGGTTAGAGTATGTACCTTTTTTTTATTGTAAATATGTCCAAGTTGCCAACTACAATGGTTATACCACTCCATGCTTCCACAGTAATGTAGAAAAGATGCAGTTTCTCCTTTTGACATACTTTAGCAGTATCAAAACTATTATTTTTTGCTACCATGTTCATAATTTGGTTATTCATTTGGGGTTTTTCTTTGTGGGGGTTGTGGTGATTTTGTGTGTGTGTGTGTGTGTGTGTGTGTACCTTTAAAGTTACTCTTTTCAAGGGTGTTCATCAAAACAGATACCTTCTTGAATACTATGTGTCATATGTTTTATTATTTCTTTGCAGTAGATTGAAGAGACTAGATCTTGTTTGTGTACTTTCGTTCAGGTGTACACCTTTTAGATGATAAAGTTGAAATATTTCAGTGAGCTTTGCTAATATGTTTTATAGATTCAAGAGGAAGAGTGTCCACCAAGAGATGACTTCAGTGATGCAGATCAGCTTAGAGTTGGGAATGACGGCATTTTCATGCTGGCGTTTTTCAGTAAGTGAGCTGAGCTTTCCTTTCCAAAGTTTTGAAGTATTTTAGTTTTTCTGTGTTAGGGTGTGTATATGTGTGTATGTGGTAGTATTGGTTATGTGTTTAAAAGCAACATAGTGAAAAAAAGAAAATATTTTAAAATGTAAATGGCTCTTGGTAAAGAATTGATGAATACCAAATATCATAATATTGCATATAAAATCTGAGTGACTTTAAATTAGAAAAATCTACTCGTCTTTTTCTTTAATTCATTTACTGAAGAACAGAAGTAAACCACCTAGAAGTGGGGGATTCTTATTTTTTCTCAGTTAAATTATATTGAGATTGTCTTATCAGCTTGTTTACATGCAGTATTTAAGTCTGATTTTATTTAGACAGATATATACCATGATTAAGGAAATTAATCCTTTGGTTAAACATACTATCTAAACAATCACTGTTGATTTATACTTTATATTTATACTTTTTATAATTGATTTATAATTGTTTTAGATCAATTACCCTTTATATCTCAGCAAACTTCGTATACATTTTTACTTTAAGAAAGAGTAACTTAAACATTCATTATTTTCATAAATGTGTCTTTTGAGTAATCTTAATTAGGAAAGGCAGAAGTTAAATTTATTAGTGTATTTATAGCACAAACATTTCTTGGGAATTAAAAAATGTTATCTGACAAATTTAATTATTTGTCTAAAAACTTTATTTCCTTGTTTCTGTATTTCACTAAATGATAGGATCTTTTCTTTACTCTTTTTATATTTTGGATTGGAAACCAATTAATTGATTAAATAGTTCTAGTAATACAGACTTAGGATTTTGTTTTTGACCAGTAACATTAGTAATGTATAAATGAACATTTTTTGTTTGCATAAAATCATTCATATACATTGTGTTTCATTCATATACATTGTTTCATTCACATACATTGTGTTTTGTATCATCCATACACATTGTATTTTATATAATTAATTACTGTTGATCTGTGCCTATTAATGCTGTCTTTTCAAGTTCCCATTGAATCTTTCCTGTTCCTTCACTCGGCCTGCTAACCCCTGCTATCCTAGTGATTTTCCCAGCTTCCCCTTTTTCTGCTCCCCTTTCCCATTTTGAACATTTATACATGTCTTACTCTGTTACCCTGTTTTCACAAGGTTGATCTTATGCAGTATTTGCCCTTATGTGACTATTTCACTCAGCATAATACTCTCTAGTATTATATGTGTTACATAGTATTTTATGAAATTATTACTCCTTAGTGTTGAATAGTATGAATTAACCACAATTTCTCAGTCCATTTGTTTGTTGATGGAAATATGGACGACTACGTTTCACTGCTGTGAACATAGGTGTACATATCGCTAACAGATCAGTTCTGATTTCCATGTTATGTATTCCTGCCAGTGGAAACGCTGCATCATATGGGATTTCTGTGTTCAGCTTCAGCTTTTTCAGCAAATGCCAAACTACCTTCTGTAGTGATTTTACCACTCAAGATCCCACCTACAGTTCATAAGGGTTCCTATCGCTCTGCATCCTTTCCAACATTTATTGTTTGTGGTGTTCTTAAACTTTGCTACTGTTGCTGGAATGAGATGGTACCTCATTGATATTTTGATTTGTATGTCTGATTGTCAGTCATTTTGAGAATTTCTTCATGTGTCTGTTGGCCATTGGAATGTCCTTCTTTGTAAAGAGCCTGTTCATATCTTTTTGCCCATTTTACAACTGGGCTATCAGTCTTTTTTTGTGGGGACCCTGTAGTATTTTGTAAACTTTAATTATGAGATCCTTGTCTGAAATGTTATTGCCAAGTGTTTCTTCCCTGTCTGTGGGCTTGCTTTTTAACCTGTTGGAGAAAATTTTTGATGCACACAAGGATTTGCTTTTAAAATAAAATTTGGGTTTCCATTCATTGATTTTTGTCCTCTCCTAGTTGTGCATTTTTGGCTATATTCACAAAGTCTGTTTATGCCATAGGTTAGATCTTCTAAACTTGTTCACATTTTGTCTCTTAGGATCTTCTGGTTTTGACTTTTACCCCTAGGACTCTAATCCACTTTGAGTTGGTTTTTTATGTTAGATGTCATCCTGTTTCTTTTTTCTGCTTGTTAAGGAAAACTACAAAACTTATTGTTACTACAAGAAATAATAAGAGACCTAACTAAATGGGAAAATATTCCCTGTTTGTGGGTAGGAAGACTGAACATTGTGAAAATGACAGTCCCACTCAAAGCAATTTACAGATGCAGTGCAATCCCAGGACAGATACTGAATTCATTCTTCAAGAAGATTGAAAAGGCAGGTTTGAATTTCATTTGGAAAAAAAGAAACCAATAATAAGCTGGCTCTTCTTAAAAACAAAAATGAAGCATAGGAGGTATCTTAGTCACTGATCTCAAAACCAACTACACAGCTATAGTAATCAGAACACCATGGTATTGGTACAGTGACAGACACATAGATTAGTGGAATACAATGGAAAAGCCAGAAATCAGCCCATCAGATGAGGAGAATTGAGGCACTTGCTGCAGAAGATCAAGGAATACAGCTTTCAGTGTGGATTGCATCACAAGGCCAAAAAACAGAAGATTACCACTGGACCAATAGACAACATAATGGTGGATCTAGAGGAGATTGAAACTATCAGCAGCTTCATCTTGCTTGGATCCACAATTAATATCCTTGGTACCACCAGTCAGGAAATGAGACACATTGCAATTGGAAAATCTGCAGTTAGGGATCTTTTCCAATTGTAGAAGAGTCATGATGTCAGTTTGAGGACTGAGATGCATCTGATTCAAGCTATAGTCATTCCGATCACTTGATATGTATGCTAAACATTGAATAAGGATGACAGAAGATGAATTGACTCCTTTGGGCTATGGCATTGGAGAAGAACACTGACAGACAGACAGCCAACAGAACAAACAGATATGTCTTGGAGAGGGTGCAGCTAGAGTGCTCTTTGGAGGCAAGAATGATGAGATTACGTCTCACATACTTTGGACATGTTGCTAGGAGGGGGCTATTCCTTGGAGATGGACATGGTCCTGGGAGGGGTGGAGGGTCAGTGCAGGAGAGGAAGATTAACCAGGTAGATACGATGACTGCTGAAATGGGCTCTTGTGTGTCAGGAAGTGTGAGGATGGCACAGGATAGAATAGGGTTCAGATCTTTTGTTCACAGGGTCTCTATGAGTTGTACTGAACTCAGCAGCACCTAAGGATAACCTGTGGTCAACTGATATTTGACAAGGTAACAAAACATTTAATGGGGAAATGACAGTCTCTTTAACAAATAGTGCTGACAAAACTGGACATTTGTGAACTTTTACTACGTTTTCTATTCCTTTATATTTTTATTCTTGCAAATACTACACCAATAATGAGAGTATTAAAGATTATTTTTCATCCCCATTTCTCGATATTTTTTTTCTGATAGGTTCTGACTACCATCTAGTGGCTGTTCTGAAAATTGCAATGTGTTATGTTTTCCATTCTTAAACTGCTGATAGCATAATGGGTCTAGAAATAGATTTTTTTTTTCCTCCAGTGTAGGTTTATAACTTGAGCATGTCAGGTCAGATAGATTTTGCAGATAAAATTGCAATAAATATAATTTAGAGTGGTTCCATTAAAACATTTTTGTATAATTCTTGCTTTTTTAAATGTTACCCTTTGTGTTTTAGTTTCTTAACCCTAAAAGTTTGTATCTGTATTGGTAATTTGCTTCATAAAACGGAAAGGAAATATAAGTATCATCTGATCATATTTCTGTTTCTCATAACCTCTTAAACTTTCACTATAAAATGACTTTTTTTTTCTATAATTATATTTTATTAATTTTCATAAACATTTACAGAGATTTTGGGCTTCCACTCATTCATTGTTGCACTATTCTC